GTCAAGATCTCGTGCACATCGACGTAGCACGCTGAGTCGGTGGTGGATGGCTGTTTCATGTTGTGATCTAGGGTGAACTCAACAGTTTCGTCACCTATTTTCATCGTAAGACGACCAACACGAACATGAATCACCACATCGGCCGTGTTTAAGAATGGTCGGCCTAATATAATCGGTATCTTCGAGTCCTCGTCCATGTCTAAAACAATAAAATCTACGGGAACATAGTAATCTCCGACCTTCAATGGGACGTCCTCGAGAATACCTGTAGGATACTTGACGGATCTATCCGCAAGCTGTAGTGCCATCCTCGTCGGCTTGAGATCTCCAATGTTGAGTTTCTTATAGATAGACAATGGAAGCAAACTCACACTGGCACAGTAATCGCACAATGCTCGGTCAATCTCAATGTTCCCAATTTTGCAAGGAATCGAGAAACTACCTGGATCCGATCTCTTCCGTGGCAACTCATGCTGTAGAATCGCAGCGCTCACCTCTGTGTTCAAGGATACTGTCTCCTTCCCAATCACCCTCTTCTTAGTCAAGATATCTTTCAAAAATTTTGCATAAGAAGGGATCGTCTCATAGAAAGGCATCTTAACCTCTAACTTCCGAAGCATATCAACAAATCTAGACAACTGTGTATCCTCAGTATGCTTCTTCAATCTAGAAGGGAAAGGAACGAGTGGTACATAAGGTGGAGGAGCTACATATGGCGGTTCGGCTTCCTCTACATGCACCTTAGGTGTCTCGTGAGCTATGGCTTTTACTTTCTCTTCAGCAATGTATCTAGACGTCGTCCCTTTTTCTGTGGTAGTAATAGGGACCGTCTCAGGGAGGCTCTCTCCACTTATAAGCTGAATGGCATTGACGTGCTCTCGTGGATTCGGTTCGGGCTTTCCAAGAAATGTGCCCTGCTGTCTAGAGAGTTGTGATGCAAGCTCTGCAATCTGCATGTCCACGTGCTTCAGATGAGCCTCAACTCCATCTAATCTCCTCTCAAAAGTGTCTTGCCTGACTTTTATGCTCTGTATCTCGGTCTTCAGTTCAGTAAATGATGTCTTTTGATCGAGCATTAGCTTGGCAAGCATTGTCTTGATGTCCGCTTCATCGTTCTTCGCAGGTTGAGACACTCGGTAACCCTGATTTTGCTGTCCGTATCCCTGATTTTCCTGCGCATATCCCTGATTTTGCCCCTGAAAACGTGACTGAGTGAAGCCCGGGGGATTCTGAGGGATTCTGGGAATGCCCTGCTGCTGTGCATTCAATGCTCCGCTCGGGTTTCCGTAGGAGAAACCGAGATGATTCCTAGGCGCGCTCGGGTTGTAGAGATTAGAAGGATTCTGGTATTGATTCCTTCCTATGTAGTTGACATCCTCAACCGATTCTTCTTCTGATGTGGCCTGATCAACCAGAAACATTCCAGGCTGGACTTTGTGCGGGATAGACGTATTCTTGAGTCCCATATGCTGCTTGATCGCCGATAAATCAGACATGACTGCCTTCAAAGCAGCGGACTCGCCCAAATCTACCCGTCCTGTAGAGCGTCTGATGCTATCTCCTGACATCCCTCTTGCCTTAGCCATCTTAGCAATCTGCATCTCTAGGGTGTCAAAGGGAATGTCATATACACTCCCTCCACAAGCTGCGTCAATCCATGCTCTAGTATCGTCTCTCAGTCCGTGGATGAACGTGGAAAGCAATAGTCGCTTATCCATGTCGTGGTGTGGATAAAGGCGCTGATAGCCTTTAAATCTCTCCCATGCATCGTAGAGACTCTCATCACTCTCCTGAGTGAAGCTATGTATGGCTCTCTGTGCGGTTCGGGTCTTCTCTGGGGAGTAGTATTTCGCCATGAATTGCTCATCTAGCTCCTCCCATGTCGTAATCGAGTTTGGCTCAAGAGTGTAGAGCCAATCTCTTGCCCGGTCCATCAGTGAAAAAGGAAAGGCCTCCAAATAGACATCCTCAATGGTCATCCCTCTGGCTTTCCTAACCGATCTGCACAACATCTTGAACTGAGTCAAGTGAGCAATGGGATCCTCTGTAGGCCGCCCTCTAAAACTCGCAGTATACATCTTCAATAGTCATCCCTCGTGCCTTCCTAACTGATCTGCACAGCATCTTGAACTGAGTCAAGTGAGCAATGGGATCCTCTGTAGGCCGTCCTCTGAAACTTGCCTGACTAAACATTGTGATGCACTGTGGCAGTAGCTCAAAACTGTCTATGGGCGGTCTGTTGATGCATGATAGGAGTTGGGTGTGCTTCGGTGCAATGTAAGAACCCAAAGTCTCCTCTGCAACATAAGTAGCTTCGCCCTCGGTCTGCTGATCATAGAGCGGATTCATGTACTCTTGATTCTCTTGATGCTCCTCATCATGAACTGCATGGTCGTGTGAACTACTTGACCTCGACATAGCTTCTCTTCTCTGCTGTTTTCGGATGTTCCTCAAGGTACGCTCAATCTCCGGATCGTAGACTAGGTCTTCTCTCCGAGTAGAGCTCCGTGTCATGCACTAGAACCCTGTAAATCGCAAAGAAAAAGAAGAACTCGAGACCAAGTGAATCCACAAATACCAAGAAAAAAAAATAAAAAAGAAAAAGGAAACAAGCAAAGATCTAGAATCAATAATGACCTAGAAATAGGCTAACCAGTCCCCGGCAACGGCGCCAAAAACTTGATACGTGTGTACCGAGTCTAAAATCTATAACCCGATTCACAACTCACCGCAAGGATATGGATCGTCGTAACACGAGGTCGAACACAAGGACCGGTTGCTAAATCCAAATCTCAATCGAAAATAGATCAAAGCAAGCAAGCGAAAGTAATGGTGGAAGTATGTGGAATCTAAAATAACGAAAATAAGAAAGCAAATAAAAACGTATAACTATCAAGCAAAGATGACCGTGGGTGTCGGAACCGTATTCGCGTGTATGGGTATATGCTAAGCATGCGAGAATCACGATATTGAATCTGTATTCGGGAATCGTCAAGCAACAAAGATAGAGAAATCACCTCCCGGCATATAACTCACTATCTAAAGTAATTTAAATCCATATGCCTATGTGATTTATCAAACTAGATGCATGAAGAATGCTATCATCAACCCTAGATCGATCAAACCATATTCATATGTGAATAATACGATCTATTCTATTGATTTTGATCCGAAACTAAACCCATATTCCTATGTAGTTCAGAATCTAAAACAATTGACCAAGGGGTCAGCAAACATCAATTGACAGGAAGTGCAAATCGATAAAACCGAAACAAATCCAAATCGCAACCAAGTTAGGGTTCAAACATACCCAAAACACAAACGAATCCCTAACCCACAGCCGTGGATCTACTCACGGTTCATGGAAAAACACAGAGTAAAACCGAAATCAGAGACAAAAGAGGGAGAAGAAAGACTCATGTCGACAGCAAGCGATCTTCACGTTCCAACTCTCCTTCTTCTTCCCGAGATCCCGTAAAACTCCTATTTCTCTCACCAAAGCTCTCCAAAGTCTGTATAAAGTTTGTCCCTCTTCTTGGACGTCCGTAGGCACTTTTTATAAACCCTAGGCGGCGCTCCCGAAGTCCTACTCCCGTTCAAATTCTGAAAATTCGAATCTGGGCTTTTTCTGGGTTTTGACTCGGACCGAGTCAGTACTCTGACTCGACCGAGTCAAAACGAGACTCTTTAAAATTCGGCCCAGCCCAATCTTCTAACTCGGCTTTCTGACTCGGGCATGTTGCCTCGGGGTGTTCTGACTCGAACGTTCTAACTCGGTCTCTTCGTAACAGGCTTGAATTGGGCCATTTTCAGCATGTTGACTCGGCCCAATTTCCGTGTTTGACTCTGGCCGAGTCAAGACGGGAAGTTCTTGACGTATTTCATCACTTTAGCTCCAGATTGCTCCCGCTTTGGTCCAAATCGCGTCTCAGACTTGTAATCCTATAAAAACACAACCAACCCGAGTTTCGTGGCCTAACACGCCTATAATGCCTACAAATGAATATGATCATCGTCTAAATCCTATAAAGACGTTCTGGAAATATAGAGAGAATTAGGAGTTATCAATATGGTTTGGCGTTAGACGAATCCTTCCCCAGACTTGAACTGGACACTGTCCTCGGTGTCTAATCTCGGCTAGTAGAGGCAACCAATAAAATGAGTCAAAAGAGAAGAAAATCAAGAAGGAAAAAGAATACTTAGCTCGCGATGTTCGTTCACTCGCACTTAAGTTTGCCTACGTCAATCGCATAGCTAGCTTCCTCGCCTCCTCGGTAGCTCCTCATTAGAACTCAACCTGGTGATAAGAGACACAAACCGATATCCGATGCAAAAAGAA